GTTCAGGGTTTATTGTTTAGGGTTTTGGGGTTAGGGTTCAGGGTTGTGGGTTTAGGGTTTAGGGTTTTTTTGTCTGCGACTTAACCGCTCTTCTCAATTTGACCGGACTTCCGGGTGTTTTACGCATAGGCTTTTTCATGAAGAGTCCCAATCAAGACCCATCGGATTGCAGAAGTGCAAGGATTATTTTCGATGTTCATGTGTTTGATACGCACATTGTCAACTGAAGTCCCTTCTGCGGTGCGGGTCCTTGATTTTGAGCGCTGCTACCAGTGTTCCAACATGCAGTTGTCTAGTCGTGCGTGGATGTCGCGTGTCATGTCCATTATTGTCAGTACCATCATGAGTGCCACCAGCATCATTTGCATCAGTGTCATCGTTATCGTCACACTACTTGCCACCACCGTCATCGTCATCATCATCATCATCATCATCATCATCATCAACAACGGCAGCAACAACATCATCATCACCACTCCATGCCAGTATCAACATCGTCAACATTATCATCATCATCTTCAGAAGCAGCAACAGCTACAGAGGTGCTGTCACCAAGTGTGACTGCCGTGCTTGCTGTGGCCATTGCCCTGGTTGCTGTCAGCACAACGGCATGTACGTGGTAGCAGCAGGAGGACCACCATCAACATCACCACCAACATCACAATCCCTTCACCAGCATCGCCACGACCACGACTGATATTTGTTGTGTTGGTTTCTCATGCACAATGTGTTTTTGCATGAGCAACCTGAATATCCTTATAGAGATTGTGGCTTTGGGATGCTGCTGTGTCCGTTGCCCAGTTTTCTGCGCATGCGCTGCAGCCATCACTTCCGGCGCTGGGACTGGCACGCCGAATGAGACACTTGGGCTTACAGCTCCCAATCCGTAATCGTTCGTGAGCATCAACCCTTCTGAGGGATTGGGCTTTGGGCTCTGAGCACAGCGCTGGGTTCAACACTGAATCCTAAGGCCCTAAACCCCAAACTCCAAAAAGCGACATGTCTTAGGGATGTTTCGGGTTTAGGATGCTGTAGCGCCATGACGAGGGCCTTGATCCGAACCCTAAAATGAACCTACCTTTTGCAGGGCTTGTATAAGGAAATCCGAAAAAGGAGCCCTACAAAAAAAGGCAGGGTCCAGGAATACCCAAGCCTCAAAGCTGGCCAAAACCCCTACCATAACCCCAAAGAACCTACCTTTCTAAGGACTTATATAAAGAGACTATAATAAGGAACCCTACAAAGGTAGGTTATTTGGGGTCCAGGTAAGCCCTATACAACCCCAAAGAACGAAGTCCACCCACAAGGCCTGCCTGCCGCAGGAAGCTCGTTGCTTTCTGGCTCTGCTCCCAGAATCTTGAGCAGAGCCCCCATACCCTAAACCCTCACAGTGCGCATCCTCAACTGAAAGCCCTAAAGCCTTAATTACCCATAGGCTCCATTGTAGATCCATTTGGGGGATTATAGATTCCTAAAGATAAACCACAAAAAAGGAACGACAAAGGAGCCTATATATGGGTAATCCCTATCAAGCATGTCTGCTGACTTGTGCAGCTTTTCTGTTCCAGGCCATCCGCGGTGGCTTTGTTCATCCGCGAGGTCTGGCGAGGACCTCCCCGGCCACCGTCTAGGGTTCCCCCGAACCCCTCCCACGGTTTAGGGTCTTGTGCTTGAATGACCTATGTAAAGAAATCGTAGTTACTCAATAGGGAGCCCTAAACAGGTAGGTTTTTCGGGGGCTCAGGCAAGGTTTAGGAGTTTAGGACCCATCCGTAAATGTGCGTACATACATGTACATACCAAAGCGCCGCCTGAAGGATACTATATAGGGTTTAGGGTTTAGGGATTACCTTATTCGTTCTATGCAGAGAGGTTCAGTTCATGCTCGTGATCGCCATGCTGAGTACACAAAGTCTCATTCTATGCAGAGAGGTTCAGTTCATTCTCGTGATCGCTATGCTGAGTACACAGGTGTCTGGAGGAACAGCGCAGGGTGTCTCAAGCAAAAGCCAGGAAAGATAATATATGATATACTTGTCGGAATAACTACTTTGCAGCAATACAACTCCTTGAGGTTTCTAGTTCGCTACGTGTACCCTAAGCCCTAAACCCTACATCCCAAAACGCTACTATAGTCTTCAGGCCAAGGATCCTACCTCGCCTTGCAATCTCTGCCCTAGATTCCTAGGTTTGCTTCTGGTGTGAAGGCAGATGCTGGAACTCTATGGTCCTGCAAATTTTCTGACAAGATATGTTTAGGGTTTAGGGTTTAGGGTTTAGGGTTTAGGGTTTCAGATAAGCAGGTAATCATAGCACGAACTTGCAGTGGTGCGTCGGGAAGTGTTTTCAGATCCGCGTGCTTGCTCCAGTTGCTTCCGTATCGAACGTAACCGAAAATTCAGAATGGTTGAAATTTCTAACCCCTTAGCAGCGTGAACGGTACCCCAAATTGTACAGACAGCCGATACCTATTTGTTCAGACTTTCTGGTGCATTTCACAACTTGCACTAGGGGCTTCACCTGAGAATGTGTGTGTGTGTGTGTGTTTGTCTTCAAACAAGGTTTCATGTGGAAATATGTGTCTTCAGACAAGCCCGGGGCTGCTGTAAAGGGCATCTGGTCCTTGGGTATAAGGATCGCACCATTGAGTCGTTGAGGGGCCAAATATTCATATGCAATCCTAGATCTTCCGAGATACCTTCGTACATGAATCACTTGCCCTGTAGATGTCAACCGGTGTCCCCCATGATATGATATATGCAACATTCCATATCCGTAAAGGGTCATCTTGGATGATGAAGCAATTTATTCCTCGCTCGTCTGCGCAGCACTTGGAAGTCAAGCCAGCCTCCAGTCCGTGTCATGGCCAGCGGCGCCGGTTCAGTGGCCGCTTCCGCGGCGGGCCCGGCACAGGCCTTCGTCGCTGCGCCCATCCGTGCTCCAGCTGCTCCCGTCCAGAGGTCCGGAAACTTAAATCCCAAAGCCAATATGAAGCCTAATATAGGGGGCTTAATAATTAGAATAGGGTTTGGGGTATGTTATACTATATTTATAATCAGGAGCCCCCCAAAACCCTATTCTAATTATTCTGAGGCCCCTGCATTAAGCCTTTTGAGCCCTTATAACCCTAGTTAAACCTTTTGAGCTCTGAACCCTAAGCCTTTTGAGCCTAGGCCCTGAGCCCTTGAGCTTTGAAAACCCTGAACATCTATAAACCTGTTTAAGCCTAACCTAAACCTTTTGGCTTTGAGTTTAAAGCCTTAACCCCTTTAAACCCCGAGCCCTTAGCCTTCATCATCATCTCAATAATACTACGAATAACCACTTAACAACACAGATTCTAGCCAGTATTCATGATAAGGAAATAATTTTATAATCGTAGTAGTACTACAAATAGTACAAATTATAAGCAAGATTTATCATAGCAATAATAACAAAATAAGGAAATCAGTAGCCACCATAACGGTCACAAGCCCTTAGCCCGCGTGAGGTCCGGAGCAACCCAGGCCTCCTCGAGCTCTTCTTCCGCCAGCTCCGGCCCGGGCCTCTCCACGGCCACTGGGATTTTCAGAGGGTTTAGGGTGTAGGGTTTAGGGTTTAGGGTTCAGGGTTTAGGGTTTAGGGTTCAGGGTTCAGGGTTCAGGGTTTAGGGTTTTAGGGTTCAGGGTTGAAGCTTCAGGGTCTAGGGTTTAGGGTTCAGGGTTTTTAGGGTTTAGGGTTTAAAGGGTTCAGGGTTTAGGGTTCAGGGTTTAGGGCGGTTTAGGGTTCAGGGTTTAGGGTTCAGAGGTCTGTAGGGATTTAGTAATCAAGCTTCTGGGAGGGCTTTGAGGGACGTTCATTTCAGAGGTCTTTGGGGTTTAGGAGTCAGTTGAGTATGCTTTGGGCCGATTCCAATGTGAATCAGGTCGTACGTAATGTACATGGACAAAAGGAGTTAATGTGCCTTAGACAAGGATGTGCAGAGGTAAAGAGCATAGAGTATATAGGGTTTAATGCTTATAATATAGGGTTTATAGGGCCTTAGGGTTAAGGCTTTGTATTTTTGTTTTTTGTTTTTGAGTTCTTATTATCTTATAGGAACTAGAACTCCTGTACATATTCCCAGTGGATTACTAAACCACCTAGGCCATGTTCGCCTTGGGCACCGCGGGCGCCGTCGCAGCCCGCAGCCGCGCCCGAAACGGCGCACCCGCGGCCCTCCGGAAGTTCCTTCGGGCCAGCGCCAAGGGCACCACGCTCTCGGTTCCTAGATTTTTGATGGTTTTAGGGTTTGTCAAGCTTTAGGGTTTTAGGCTTGAGGGGTTTAGGGTCTAGGCGGTCAGTGGCAGGTTGTTGCTAGCTTTTGCTTCTGGCTCTTGCTAGCTATATATATATATATGTATAATGTAAAGTTTGCCATAACATAACGGTAAGCGTCATAAAAAGACATACATGCATACATACATACATACCATACCATGCCATACACCATACCATACCGTACCATACCATACCATACCATACCATACCATACCATACCATACCATACCATACCATACCATACGAACG